GGGCGACAGAGTGAGACTCCAACTCAAAAAAAAAAAAAAACCTTCCAAGAAGCTGGAACTACAGGTGCATACCACCAGGCCTAGCTAACGTTTTGGTTTATTGTAGAGATGAGGCCTTGCCAAGCTGTCCAGGCTGGTCTCAAACCCCTGGACTCAGGCAATCCTCTTGCCTCCACCTCTCACATTGCTGGGATTACAGGTGTGAGCCACAGCACCTGGCCAGGGGTCGCTTTAGAAGCCCTTTATAGGGTGGGCGCAGTGGCTCAGCCTATAATCCCAGTACTTTGGGAGGCGAGGTGAGAGGATTGCCTGAGCCCAGGGTTCGAGACCAGCCTGGGCAACTTGGCAAAAGCCCATCTCTAAAATAAATTTAAAAATTAGCTGGGTGTGGTGGTATGCACCTGTAGTTCCAGTTACTTGAAAGGCTGAGGTAGAAAGATCGCCTGAGCCCAGCAGGCTGAGGCTGCGATGGCTGTGAGTGTGCCACTGCAGTCCAGCGTAGGCGACAGAGACTCTGACTCAAAAAAAAAAAAAAAAAGCCCTTTATAGTATCCTAGGGCAGACTTTGGAGTAAGACCCAGGGCAAACCTGGGCTTGATACTTCCAGCTGTGTGACCTTGGGCAAATTGCAGAACCTCTCTGAGCCTCAGATTCTCCATGGGTACCATGGAAATCATGATTCTTATACCTTCTGGGGGTGCTGCAAGGTAAAGATAAAACCTAAAGATGTGAAAACACTTTACAAATCCTCAGGACAACAGAGGGCGGGGGACAGAGAGCACCAGAACCAACACTGAGAAGCTATCAGAAAACCAAGGGAGAGCTTAGGCCTTAAAGCAGGGAAGTATCCATGTTCCTGATACTTTAGTCAGCTGTTACTTTGTCAATTCCTGTCTCCCTGCAGAAGCTGGCCTTTTCCTTCTGAGGGTCTGAGGGAGCCCTGCTGTCACAAATATCTGTCTCCCAGGCAGACCGTAGGCCTCACCCCACCATGCTGCTCTTATTTACTAGTATAATGGCACCTGGAACAGAACAGACATTCAATAAATGTTGGATGAATTTGGATGAATAAAGGTACCCTCCCCCTAAAACTCCTTATCAGTAAATACTTGCACATAATTCTAGGGGGGTCACAGCTTCTTTAGTATTCATGAGTGCTGGGTAAGAACCACTGTACCCTTGGGGTTTTTTTTGGGGGGGTAGCCAAGGAACTTGGGAGCCCAGGCACCTCCTCCACAGGAGTCCCTGAGCAATGGGGCTGGACGTAGGGGTGTTTTTTTGAGGTCCTGCCCCCTCACCGGTACCTGTTGATGATGGTGGGCAGGAAGCAGAAGAAGAAACTCTCAGAGATGTGTATGAAGGGCAGCAGCCCCAGGTAATAGAGCAGCAACACCCAGGCTGCTCTGGTTATCGTGAAGGACCGTGGCATCTCGGGGTTCTGGGGAGGCAAGGAGAGATGTGAGGAAGGATCAGTGTGCTCTTGGGGAAGCAGAGAGCAGGTGTGCGCCGCAGGGGAACATAGTGGACATTCAGGAGGCCTTCCCACCTTTAGGCTCAAAGTCACATCTTGGCCCAGTGTCTGAAGCCTAAATGCACCCTCGATGCCACCACCATGTCGTGGCTCAGATATGCCCCAGCTCTCCAAACCCTATCCTTGGAGACCCTGCACAAGGGCCAGTTCCTCTGGAACCCTCCTGGACCCCCCAGCTCAGGCCTCCAGACTGGGCTGGACTCCAGCTTCTGGGAGGAGTGGCCCCTGGAGCAGGGAGGGCGTGGGGTGGGGGCAGGGGCTCACGGCGGCCTTGCACTTCTTCATGACTGAGCTCTTCTCTGAGGCCCAGATGGTGATATCGTTGCGGTCAAAGCGCCTCACCAGGCTTGCTATCTGGGAGGAGGAGGAGGGGATGAGGGGAGAGCTGGGTCTCTCTCCAGCCCCGGTCACCGCCCTGCCCCTGCCTGCAGCGCCACCTTGTGAATGAGCTCTTCGTCCTTCCCTTTGATCTCCACACTCATAGGTATCCTCGGGAACCTCCGGAACAAGTCCTCCAGACTCACCATGCGCCGGTCTGACCCGCGGGCATAGCGGCCTGGAGGGGTGTGGGCAGGGGAGTCAGAGAGGGACGCCAAAGCAGGGGCCTGGGGAAGGTGGGCCCGGCCTAGCCAGGGCGTGCAGCCCCGGCTCTCACCTGGCGAGAAGTAGACTTCCAGCTCCTCCTTGTAGGGGGGCAGGTCCTGGAGAGGGCAGGAAGCACATCACTCAGGCACACTGGAGGCAACTGGGTGAGGGTGGTGATGGGGACGAGGCCTACCTCAAAGTCCAGGCTGCCCACATCCTTGTCCAGGCCTGACTGGCGCAACAGGTTCTCATCATGTGACACCACAACCACACCATCCTTTGTCAGCTGGCAGTCGAGCTCCAAGAGGTCGGCTCGCTGGGCCATGGAGCTGTGGGAGCAAAGGTCAGTGGGGTGTGGGGGACCAGGGTAGGGAGGTGTGGGGACACATGCGGGCAGAGTGCACAGCGGGATGTGCAGGCACACCTCCAGACGCCAGCCACCTGGGTTAGGAAGTAAATGGCTCCCCTTGTATAATGCAGTGCACAACCAGAACCACCTTATGTGGCAACTGGGCTGGGGGCAGGTGTACTCACTTTTCCATGGCCTCCATGGTGTTCTCCAGCAGCTCTCCAGACCCTGTATAGGGCAGCTGGGGTGGGTCCCTGGGGCCTGGGGTCTAAGGGCCTGGCCCGGCTTTATCACTCACACTCCCTCTTCCCGGCAGCCCAGGTCGAACCAGTCTCTTCCCCGCCCATGTGCTGCCCTGCCACCTCGCTATCCTCCTGCCTCGGTCCTTGCCCCATTTCTGCTGTTCTGTCCCTTGGACTTGCCCCTCTTTGCTGTCTACCGTGGTACCTGTCCTGCTATCCTCACCACCCCATAGCCGCCCTTCCACCCCACCCAGCTCACCTCCTCGGTGTGCCCCTAGGCAGATGCGGAAGGTTGGAGCCCGGGGTGTGTGCAGCAGGTGAGGCCGGCGCAGGAAGAAGATGGAGAGCATGACATAGCTGCCCAGGGCAGGGAGGGCGTAGCACAGCAGGGGGCTCATGGCTGTGCTCCTGCAGCCGGCTCTGGCTCTGCAGCGGCAAGCTCAGCTGTCCCGAGGGACTGTGCTGCCTGCCTAGCCGGTGTGGGCTGGCCCTACTACTAGTCACTGCCACGCCCCTGGGACCTGCTGAGCCTGCTGCTGGAGTGGGGCCAGGTTGCAGGGCTGCTGGAGTCGGGGTAAAGGCAGGAGGAAAGGCAGGCGGCTCTGGCCAGCGCATCCCCAGACCCTTCAGACCACTGCATCCCTCTGTCCTTGGCCATGTGCGGGGAATAAAGCCCCCCCAGGTCTCTTGTGATCTTCCCCCTCCCACCGATGCTTGTGCCCAGCTGTACAGCATGCCCGCCCCTTGCCATTTCAGAGAATTCGGGGGTGTGCGGAGTGCCCTGAGTCACCCCCAATCACCCCCAACCAGTTAGACAGGAAGCCTTTAGGGAGAGGAGAGAACAGTGACTCAGGGGAATACTGACCCCACTCTTTCCAGGAATCTGGAGCTCGTGATACCCAATCCTCAACCCTGGCCAGCTAGGAGCCAAAGGACACTAGGGCATGGAAAGCCACAGCTGGAAGCAGCTGGGCTGTGGGAGTCGGTCCTCAGGAGCGCTGGGTAGGGGCGGGATTCGGCGAACAGACAGAGCCAGGGCCATCCGTATACACATCTCTATGTTTATATATTAGATACAGGCACAGGGAGGTGGGCAGGGCACTGGGGGCCTCCAAGTGCCCCCCAGCTCCATTTCCGCTCACCCACACACAGAAGCAGCAAGGGTGTTAAATGTGGCAGCTTTGGGGGAGGGGATTCAGCCTGGCCCGGCTCCTCAGGGATACTAGCCCTTGAAACTTAGGGATGTTCCTTCAGGGAAAATGGGGTGGGGTTTTAATGAGATGAGCAGGCAGGGCTTGCCCTGAGTCCCTACTCAGTGCCCCACCCCCACCCCCAATAGGTCCTGGGGCAGCCAGAGTCCTTCCACTCCAAAACGATCAGAGACCGGGACAGCTGGGGTAGATGAAGGCAGAGCAGCAGAGGGATATTTGCTTTGGGGCCACCTGAGTCCCTCAGGCCCTGGGGGAGGTGGATGGGCGGGGGATGGGCAGAGAGGGCCTTGGCCTGCCTGAAGCAGGAGGCCTGAGCCAAGGAGGGAAGGTGGCCAGGCCCACCCTCTGCCCCAGCTGGGGCTGCAGGGGTCTGGGCTGGGCACAGTGTCCATTTGCTAACAGTCCGGCGGGAGGGGGCAGGCAGGAGGCAGGGCCTAAATGAAAAGGCAGGCAAGAAAGGCATCGTTAGCGCCCGTGAGGGGACCTGACAGAGCCCTGATCTCTAAGTCTCTCATTCCATCCTCACAGCTGGGCAGGGTGTGGCTAAGTTTCCTTATCTGTAAATGGAGATAATAATAGTATCTATCTCAGGGTAGTGCTCTAAGGATTAAATGAATTAGTGCAGGTAAACCTCTTAGAACAATGCTTAGGGCTCTATCAGTAGCTTGCTCTTGTTATTAGAAGTGTCTCTAGGAAACAGGTGCAGAGAGGTGAAGAGTCTTGCACAATATCACACAGCGCTGAATAAATGGCAGCACTGGAGTTTGTTTCTATCAGGCCACACCTGGCCAAAGACAGGAAGAGACTGGAGGAGGGAAGGAGGGCAGTGTGGGTGGGGGCAGGGTCATCTGGGTCCCCCACAGCTGTGTGAACTGCTGACCTGTGCAGCAGGTGTGAAAGGCCTGGTATTTGGGTCAGGCTGGGTGCTGCTGGGCTCCTCCCAAAGCAATCACGGCCCCACCTGCCCCTGGCCACACAGGGGGAGCCAAAGACTGGCTCCACGCCTCAGATGGGTGACAGAGCCCCCTCAGTGACCTCTTGCCTCTTTGCCTGCTCCATTCCCAGGAGATCAGAATGACTCCTGGGGCAGGAGGCTGCAGTCTTGACAGGTGGGAGACACCTGGGGTTGGGGACAGGGAGACACATGAAGGACTAAGTGGGCCACAAGTCTGGGCATGGACAAGCCCTAGGCACTTCTGTTGCTATCATACACGTGGACCTCGGGTGCAGGGCAAGGCTGTGGCAGGAGAAGGCTAGGCACCCAATATCAGGGTGAGTCTGTGCGTGGGCAGTGGGAACACTCACCAGGCCCCAGGGAGTCTGTCCAGGTTAGGGGGCCTCCAGCACCCCAGGCTGAAAGCGGGCCGTCTCTTGAAAGATGAGCTCCTTCAGTCGCTCCTTGGGTAGATCATCAAGCTCCATGGCAAAGGTGAAGGGCTCCTCGGCCACTGGCTGGGATGGCAAAGACAGAAAGGTTCAAACCAGGCGTTGTGGGATGCCTACTCACCCAGGTGCCCGCCGCCCTGCTGCTGGGGGCTGACCCACCTCATCTGTTGGGTCGTAGTACTGTTCCAGGTAGGGATGAGCCAGTGCTTCCTCCACTGTGATCCGTTTGTTGGGGTTAAAGGTCAACATCCGGTCCAGCAGGTCAAGGGCTAGGGAAAGGCAGGAGTCAGGGGTCAAAAGGAAGGTTAGAAGAGCTCCCATAAGCATTGCTCTGCTTCTCTGTGTCCAGGGGCCTGTCTCCTCAGGCAGCTACTGGGCTCATGCATCCTTTTCTAAACCTAGTGTTCATGCCACACCAGCCCCCTTGTCTCTCTCACCTTTGGAGTCTGATTTGGGAAAAAGCTTGGCCCAGGCCACCTTGGTCTTGGAGGGCAGAGACTGTAGGTAGTTTCGGGCCTTCATGTTGATGATACAATTCAGGTCCTCCTGAGATGGGGAGCCCAGGATGCCTGTGAAGAAGGAGGAGACTTGGTAAAAGATCTCCTCCTCCTTCTAGGAATAGAATAGGCAACAAGGCAGAAACAAGAGCCTCCAGTCCAGCAACCCATTCCAATCCTTCTCAGAGTCACCTCCCTGCCACTAATATGGTGGTGAAGAACAAGGGGTCTGGAGTCAAGCAGACTGAAGCTCAAATCCTTGCTCCAGCGCTTCCTTTGGTGTGGGGCTTAGCCTTGCTTTCCCCATCTATCAAATGGGGGTAGTACTGAAACTGAGATGCTGGAGGGGCTCCTCACATGGTGATGCCCCTGACTTGGACCTTCAAGAAATCTCACCTTGGATAAGCAAATCCTCCCCTGCATCAGCCAGTCAGGCCCCTCACCTAAAATATGGTTGAGCTGGTCCAGGTAGTGCTTGCCAGGGAAGATGGGCCGGTTGGAGAGCATCTCAGCCAGAATGCAGCCTACAGACCAGATGTCGATGGACTTGGTATAGCCCTGGGAGGAGAAAACGGTGAGCTCCCAGGGCAGCCTCAACAGGGTCTGCAGTCTGGGCCAAGCCACAACCTCCAAACTAGATCCAAGACCAGTCAGAGGGGCAGAGGACAGAGGCTTGGAAGACCCAATGCTCAGCTTTCTTTTAGGGCCCATGGGTCAGAGGGATGGGACAAGGCCCACAGGGTGGACTTCTTCCATTATGGGGGTCAGTGCCTCACTTAGATGTGGTGCCAAGGCTTCATAGGACATGGCCCCTTGGCTTCAGGGGTGGGGAGCCCTCCTACCTTGGAGTTCAGCATGATCTCGGGGGCCCGGTACCAGCGGGTGGCCACATACTCCGTCAAAAAGCCGGTATGGTCATGCTCAGGATCAGCAATCCTGGCCAGGCCGAAATCGCAGATCTGCAATCAGACCCAGCTGCTAAGCTCGGTGCTCAAGGCCTCCACAGCCTAAGGGGTCATATCACCTTGCCTTTGCCTACGCTGTTCCCCTTGCTTGTGATGTTCTGGTCACCTGGAAGCCCCAGACCCTAGGGGAGGAGGGGACAAGTGCCCAACCCTCTGACCTTAAGGTCGCAGGTGGTGTTAATGAGCAGGTTGGAGGGCTTCAGATCCCGGTGGAGCACATTGGCTGAGTGGATATACTTGAGGCCCCGCAGAATCTGGTAGAGGAAGTAGCAGATGTGGTCATTGCTCAGCTGCTGGCTTTTGAGCAACTTGTACAGGTCTGTCTCCATCAGATCCTGCACAATGTAGCTGAGGACAGCTCCAGAGACCCCCAGGCAGGGGGCAGAGGGAGGCACTTGGTTAAGGAAACAGGCTCTGGTGACAAGGCTGCACATCTCCTCCAGCTGGGAATCAACAGATCTACCAACCTATATCATGAGCTGGGCAAGGGCTGTACTCAGCAGGGCCCAGAGCCTCGGTTCCATCTCAGCTGGTGACCCTGAGCAAGGTACTTTAGTTCTGTGGCCTCAGTTTCCCTACCAGGGAAATAGGGATGATAATAAACTACGGGAGGCAAGACAACTTCACAATTATGAGCAACAACTCTGAGCTGGGTGGAGTGGCTCACGCCTGTAATTCAAGCTGAGAGGCGGAGGCGAGAGGATTGCCTGAGCCCAGGGGTTTGAGAACAGCCTGGGCAACATGGCAAGACCTCATCTCTACAATAAATCAAAAGATTAGCTGAGCATAGTGGTGTGCGCTTGTAGTTCCAGCTACTTGAAGGCTGAGGCAGAGGGATCACCTGGGCCCAGCAGATTGAGACTGCAGTAGCTGTGAGCCTGCACTGCACTCCAGCATGGGCAACAGAGTGAGACTCTGATTCAAAACAACAACAACAAAAAACCCCCAGCAACTCTGGAGTTAACCCACTGATTTCTGAAATCCCCACTCTGCTACTCACTGGCTTTATGATTGAAAACTGTTTGTGCCTCAACTTCCTCAGCTGATAAGCTGGGAAATAATGGTTCTTTTAGAGGGTGGTTGTGAAGACTAGGTGAAATGACCCAGATAAGGCTGCTAGTGCAGTGCCTGGCACGTTATGAGGGCTCAGCAAGCATGAACTATTATTGCTAATATAAATGCCTGAGTCACTTGGCTGATGAGGGAGTTAAATGAGATAATGCATGAACACCATCTGGCAAGGAATAAATGTTTGCTTAAAAATAAATGCCTGCCTTATGGGAATGGTTTGTGCAAGAAGAATGAGGAGACACACCCAATAGCACACTCCTACTCAAATAAGAGTGCCTGGCCATACATCAGAAGATGGAGGAGTAAAAGCCTTTTGATATTTGAAGATAAAACAAAGATTAAACGTAAATAAATAAATAAATGCCATTTGGCTTGTCTCCGGGAGAATAAGTTGGGACTATCTTTTGGAATCAGCCTTAAAAGGGTCTTCAGAGAACAACCGGACCAACCCTGCTGTTTTATAGATGAGGAGGCCCAGAGTGATACAACGACTTGCTTAAGGCCACACAGCAAGCTGGGGGTGAGTATTAAGATTTTCTGGCCACAGTTTTGTGATGGGGGCTGCAGACATGGGGTACAAATCCCCACCCTTGGGTGGAGGACCATGACTGGCAGGGGGGAGGTGGGGAAGAGATATGGGTGTTACAAGCTGCTAACAAGAGCCAGGCAGGAAGTAGACAGCAAACTAGGAACGCAATGTCATGGCTGGCTGTCACTCCCTGGGCAAGGTGCAAGTCCACAGGTGATTAGGGTGGGGCTCTGAGCAGGAAGTCCCAAAGAAAAGACAAGTGGCCATCTGGGAGGGGGGAGGAGGCAGCAACAGAAACACTTGACTTCAGGCTTTCTGGGCTTCGGTTCCCTCATCTTTGAAATGGAATTGATGATGTCCATCCGATAGGGCAGTTGGAAGAGAGAATCACAAATGTCCGAGCACTGGGCATGCATAAGGCCCTCAAGAAAAGGCATTTTCTTTCTCCCTACTTTCCTTCCAATCTGGGGACCCCGAGAGGAAAGAATCGTCAGTCTGTTAAACAAGAACTGACTGGGAAGAAGCTAGATCATGTCACAGAACTCAGATGTCAGAAGACAAAGCTCTCACAGAGACCATCTTGCCCAGCCCCCCACAATGAAGCACAGAGCAGAGAACTGACTTGCCCACGGTCATACTGCCTGGCTGCAGCAACCCAGGATTCACCTGAGGCCTCCAAGTCCTCTTACACTCTCTGGCCTCTTCTCTGGGGCAAGTTTATTTTACTGGGTTTGTTTTGGAGAGCCGTAGGGAAGATAGAAACAGCAAGAAAGCCCCAGCCCAGCTCCGAGGCTGTGCCTGACCAGCCATCTGGCCAAGGTGAAGGATACACATCCCTCATGGCTTCCAGGGTGGGCGCGCGCAGAATGTCTCGGATGCCAATGACATTCTCATGGCGGAAACGCAGCAGAATCTGGATCTCACGAAGCGTGCGCTGGCAGTAGGTCTGGTGCTCGAAGGGGCTGATCTTCTTGATGGCCACACGAGTCTTGCGCACATGGTCATAAGCTGAGCTGAGAGGGCCAAAGGGATGATGCTGGTATGGCCTTACAAAGGGGGATTTCAAGCCTGGTGACCCCACCCAGGCTCTGGCAGAGAGGGGAGGGAGCAGGAGAAGGCTCTGGCCAAGTCATAAACAATGCTGGTTCCTTCCTGCTGTGAAGGCCTAGGATCTCTAGGGAGAAAGCTGGGGACCAGCCAGGCGGCCCTTCAGTGACTTCACAAACAGAGGAAGAGATGGACCGCTCACTGACTTCCCCTCTCCTCACCTCCTTCCATTCTAGTTGCCCCAGCCCCCTCCGCCTCCCCTTCCCAGGAAGGGCTCCTTCAACTCCAGACAGGTCCATGGGGTGGAGATACAGGGAGGACATACAGTGAGGAAAATACAACGAGAAGGAGGCAGTCACAGGAGGGACAAGAGAGAATGGATAGGGCAGGGGTGGGTTCCAACGTGGGGTACCTGGGCAGCGGGGATGTCCCGGAGGGGCTGGGAGCACTCACAGACCCCCTCCCAAAAGATGCAGGGAAGCACTCCAGGCCCCCTCATCCCTCGCGGGACCTCTGGCTAGGGGCCTAAAGCCCTGCCCCACCCTGGGCTCTGTTCTTCTCCCCCAAGTCCCCCGGCACGGCCTCTCTAGGGGAATCCAAGACGTCCCCTCCCCAGAAAAGGGTCCTTCACTCCCGACACTAAGGCTATTACCTCTTTAAGAATGCCTATCCTCTATGCCTCACTCCGAGTCTCCAGGGTCCCCAAAGTCCCCCAGCTCCTCCACATCTACTCAAAGGCCCCTCCCTTCATTACAGAGGGATCGATGCCAAGCCTCCAAGCCCCCTACCCCAGAAAGCACTCAAAGGCCCCCTCCCTGGGACGCCCCCGAGCCTCGGGGGTCCCCTGCCTCTTCAAGACACTCCGAGTTTCCGCGTCCCAAAGGCACTCAGCACTTCTTCCCTCCCGCTCCCACGAAGCCCCCTCCTCCTAGGTCGCCCCCTCCCCTGGAACGCCCCCTCACCTGACCATGCCGTACGCGCCCTCGCCGATGTACTGCAGCTGCGTGTAGCGCGGGCCCACGTCGAACGGCTGCCCCTTCACTATTTCCACTTCC